CCAGAGCTGCACTGGGAATTGAGATAAGGATTCTTAGTCACCCCCAGGGCAGTTTGCAGAGTTTATGAGGTGATTTCATAACAGGAGGGGACGTGCTGCCCGTGCCAGGGGCCTGGCTGCCAGGGAGAGGCCCCTGCTGTGTGCCAGGCACCAGGATAAAGCTGGGGAACACTTCCTGAGCATCCGTGCACGGCTGAGCCCAGCACTGCCTCCCACCCCCACCAAAGCCAGCCCGGTGACACCCAGCCACCCAGCCACCCCTCCTGGCCACAGCAGCAGGCTCCTCTCACTTCCCAGAGGCTGCCATCCAGAGGGAAGCTCTGGGGATGGTGTTTCCCAGGCCTCCAGCAGCTCCCATCCTGCCAGCTTCTGCCAGTCTCCCCCTGCAGTGGGAGCTGCAGCTGCACCTCCACAGCTCAGCAGGTCCCTGGCACCTCTTGTGTGGCACCTGCTTTCTGTTTGGCATCTCCTCTCCATTTCAGGCTGTGCTCAGCCCACCGTCCCACTGTTTTCCCAACACTTCTGTGGTTCCACACCAACCCCTCTCCCTCCTCTCCACGACAGAGCAGCACAGTGTCTGCTGCTTGCAATGCACCAGGGGAGGAGAATTCCTACAGCAACACCCAAACAATTTCTCTGACTTACGTATGACATGGTGGCACAATCCACCAGTACTTATCAGTAGGACTCATCCTTCCTACTCTGCTGGAGGCATCACCAGCATCAAACAAATCAGAAATATGGGATGCTGCCCCAGATGGATTTTGGAGCAATGCATTTCCACCCAAGGGGCATGTTGTGTCAGTGGATTAAAAGAGAAGCATTCAGTTTTCCAGGTTTTATCAATTATTTCTAAGAGGTGATTAGATCTGAAATTCTCAGTTTTCATTTTTAACAGGAAAATTTAATCTAAAGTTTCCATCCTTATAACATGCAGGGCAAAAGTGAAGTAAATAATGAGAAGGAAGAGTTTCTTCTCCTTCTACCACCAAGAGATGGCAAAGCCACCCATGTGGGCATCCTTTGGTTCTGAGAGGCCAGGCAGGGTTCCAGACCACCTCCTCCACAGCAACCTGCACCCACCGCCAGCAAATGAGAGAATCCCACAGGGGGATCAGCTGAGACAGGGAACGAGCTCCTTCCTCACCCCGGGTACCGTGAGCTCGACACCTGCCAGAAAGGATTTGGAGGAGCACGAAAAGCTCAGCAGATAAAGTCTGCACATGTGCTCCTGATCCAGCTCGAAGGCAGCAGGATGCCAAGTGGCCAGGGCTTGGGGCAGAGCACAGCTCCACGCTCAGAACGCCTCCGGAGCCCGAGTTACGCGCTCCCAGGGGGTTGCACTTTCACTTCCCTAAATTGCCTGCATATTTGCTTTTTTCTGATGGCAGATTAGGAGCCGTGCATTTCCTTAAACCGCCAGCTTTGGGCCAAGACACACACGCCCTGCCTGGAGCTCTGCCAGCCCGCAGAGCAGAGGCAGAGCTGGGGAGCCGCGCTCAGGGCGAGCTGCTCCGGGGGGACCGGCGGCTGCCCAGGGCCAGCAGCCACGGACCCGGCTCTCCAGGCCTGGCAGGCTGCTCCCAGGATGGACAAAACCTCCATGAGAGAACCTCAGAGGCAGAGCAAGAGTGGCAGCGTCACAATTCATCCCAGCGAAGAAATCGCGAGCAAAAATCTGCAGCCATTTCAGGGTTTAAACGGGCATGAAATGAGCCAGCAATTAATTTCCTGCACGAGGAAGGAGTGCAGAGTTCGGTATCAGCAGCACTGCCAACGTGTATAAACGTACTGCGTGTCCTGGGATAAGTGGTATTTCCCTCAAAGCCTCAGCTTCCAGAATCCCACATGGATAACACAGCACTCCTCCCCGGCTCTGCAGCAGCCCCAGAGCCCTCCTGGGCTGACCAGGAGTCTCCTCCCCGCAGGCACAACCTGCTTTCCACAGCAGCATGAGGAGATTCGGGAAGCAGAGCATCAGCAGAGGTGAGCAGAGCACCACCACCCCTGCCCTGCTCAGCCCAGCCCAGCAGCACAGGCATCTCCAGCTCCCTCCAGGAATCTGCAGTGAGAGCATCCACCACCCTCACCCTGGGCTCTGCCCCAGTGACCCCAGCTCGGCTTCTGGATCCTGATCCTGACCCAGGGCAGAGCCCACTGCTACAAACGGGAACAGCAGCTTGGAGGAACCCACGCGCAATTCCAAACCCACACACAATTCACACAATTCCAAATCCATGCACAATTCCAAACCCAAAGCCTCGCGTGCCTGGGCATAGCAACCAGGCTAAGATCTAGCCAGAAACACCTTTGTCCATAGGGGAGAATTAGTCAAATCCTGTTTTCAATACGTCTTAAGGAAGAGGTGAATTAGCTCCAAGATTTACAATCTCATAATTCTCTGCTTGAAAAGGTTTCATCAATCCACAGCCATGCCAGCAATCTTCCCTCTTTTCTCTCCCAAGAAGCGCACAGCCAGACCCCATTTCCTCCTCGCTCCTTCACACCTGGATAATAATTTTTGCTTCCTCTCCCCGGGTTTATTGCTGGGGGGTTTCAGGAGGGCAGGGGCTGGCAGGGAGGTGCCCGGGGCCGCTGGGGGTTCCGGCCTCGGGCACACGGGGCCGGGGCTCGCAGGGAGATGCTCAGCGCTCTGCAATGAAGAACTTCCCCCGCTATTGTGCCCGGCCCGGAGCGCAGCACTCGCATTCAGAGAGAAACCCTTCAATTCGGAGGCGCTCCACTCTCCCACTGCTGCGACGTTACAGAACACTGGCAGCACTCAAATCAAGGTGCAGAATCTACCCGGTGCCAGTGTTGCAAAATGATGGGATCCGAGATTTTTTCTTTTTTGTGCTCAGGAATTTGAGTCTCTCAGCTTTGGGCTGGTTTCCAGCACAAAATACAGCATGATTATATATTTTTATCTTTTCTTCTATAAAAGCTTTGTTTAAAATCACATTTTCTTCTATTATCTCTTTATTTGCCAATTTCCAAAATCATAGACATCCAATTTCTCTGCCTGCCTGTCCTTCCAGCAGTACTTCACTGCAAAGAACATAACCTGTAACAAAGCAACACTTTCACCAACCACCTTCTATTTCTTTTCAAAAGCACCCAGCTGATAGATTTGAAGGCCAGTAAGATTTTATGCAACCTTCTGGAAAAGCTGCTCTTTAGGGAGTCTCCATCTTCTGTCCTTTCCTTGTTAAATTGCATTTGCCCATGACCCATACCAGGGCTCCCACTCAGAAACGTGTCTGCCCTCGGAGACAAACACACCTAAGGAAAATGATCAGCCTCAGAGCTCTTGGAGGGAGAAATCCTTCCTGGAGAAAGAAATCTCCTGGTTTTGTATCTGTGGTAACATACATTGTTTGTATTAGCACTAAATAAATAAACAACGGGGTTTTCTTTTCAGTGTTGTGCAAGCTTTGAAACACACACGCCATAAATACGGCAGGAAATGAGCCGGGCCTTGGTTTGTACTCTGCAGATGACTCCGCACAGATATTAATATATATCATTAATGCATTTTCAGGAGAGCAACCTGTCTGGGAGGCTCCTGGGGGACCGCAGGGCCGAGGCCGCACCTGCAGCCGGAGCGGGACTCACCCG